TCGGGCGGGGCGTCGGCACGCGAGTACCCTAACGGACGGGACGGGTCGGGCAGGCAAAACGGACGGGACGGGTGGGGTCGGGCGAAAAAAATCGGCACGCATGCGCAGCAAATGCTATTGTTTGAAATAAATGGATCGGCTCGCAACGGGAGCCGGGCACTTTGCATTGTAAAATGCTAGTGATTCTGCACGCATGCGCAGCAAGTGGTATTTTTTGCAGTAGATGGAGCCGGTGGGCATAACGGGGTCGCAACGGGGACCGGGCACTTTGCATTGTAAAATACAAGAGATTATGCACGCATGCTCAGCAAATGCTACTTTTTACATTAGATGGAGCGGGGTCGCAACGGGGACCGGGCACTTTGCAATGTAAAATACAAGAGATTATGCACGCATGCTCAGCAAATTCTATGTTTTACAGTCGGGCAATTTGCATTGTAAAATGAAAGAGATTCTGAACGCATGCTCAGCAAATGCTATTTTCTACAATAGATGGAGCGGGTTTGCATAGGGGCCGGTGTTATGGAAATTATGGTTTAATCAATATAGGATTAGAAATTTAAGGTTTAGGGTCTACCAGGCTTGGCCACGATTACACCTTGACCGCGAACCCACCTGCGGTGGCCGTCACTCCCACCCGCAAGCCACCCCACCATAAAGATCATCTCTCCCCTCGTTATAAACACATCGAATACAACGTCGACGACGACGACGACGACGACGGCGACGACTGATGTGCGATCCAGTTGGCACGCGAGTGCTCTGACGGGCGGGAAGAGTCGGGCAGGCGGACCCCAACGGACGGGACGGGTCGGGTCCGGCGGGAGGAGCCTACTTTTGGGGACCCACGATGTGCTATGCCATGCTATAGTCCGGTGGCGGGATAGGCCTGGGATAGGAAGGAGTAAAAGACAACGCGCGCATTGGAGTCCCCACCTTTTGGGGAACCCATGCCGAGCTATGCCATGCCATAGCACGGTGGCGGGAAAGGCACGGGGCAAGTAGAGGTCAAAGGCAACGCGCGCATAGGGGTCCCCACTTTGTGGGGACCCATGCGGTGCTATGCCATGCTATAGCGCGGCGGCGGGATAGCGCCCCCGGTTGGTAGCCCGAATCCAGTCGTAGAAGAAAACCCGAAATACAACCCAATGCATCACGAACAGTGCGACTGGATAGGCACAGCGTGATCGCGTGGTAGCCGGCCATCCTTTGTCTTCCGATAGAATTGGAAGGACGAGGATCGGTTATGAGCACACGATAGCACCTGCTGAACCAAATATGGCTGAATGAACATCATAGGTTTGACCGCCCCCTCTGCCAGAACACGCGCATAGAACAGCATTGACAAGAAGAACGTAGAATGACAAATGATGAGGCGGAGATGAGTGGGGAGGTAGACAGACAGACACGCGAGACACACCCGAGAGAACTGTTAAACTTCAACACTCGTGTGCCCCATACAAGCGAAACTGGTCGGGCAGACGGGCCCTAACGAGCGCGTCGGATCGGGCGGGGCGTTGGCACGCGAGCACCCTAACGGACGGGACGGGTCGGGCAGGCAAAACGGATGGGACGGGTCGGGTCGGGCGAAAGAGATTTTGCACGCATGCGCAGCAAATGCTATTTTTTTTTGAATAGATGGATCGGCTCGCAACGGGGGCGGGGCACTTTGTCTTGAAAAATACCAGAGATTCTGCACGCATGCGCAGCAAGTGTTATTTTTTTGCAGTAGATGGAGCCGGTGGGCATAACGGGGTCGCAACGGGAACCGGGCACTTTGTATTGTAAAATACAAGAGATTCTGCACGCATGCTCAGCAAATGCTATTTTTTTGCACTAGATGGAGCGGGGTCGCAACGGGGGTCGGGCACTTTGTCTTGCAAAATACAAGAGTTTCTGCACGCATGTGCAGCAAATGCTATGTTTTGCAATAGATGGAGCCGGGTCGCAACGGGGACCCGGCACTTTGTAGTGTCAAATACAGGAGATTATGCACGCATGCTCAGCAAATGTAATTTTTACAATAGATGGAGCGGGTTTGCATAACGACCGGTTTTGTAAGTCAGGGTTTAATAATTATAAGATTAGAAATTTAGGGTCTACCAGGCTTGGCCACGATTACACCTTGACCGCGAACCCACCTGCGGTGGCCGTCACTCCCACCCGCAAGCCACCCCACCATAAAGATCATCTCTCCCCTCGTTATAACCACATCGAATACAACGTCGACGACGACGACGACGACGACGACGACGACGACGGCGACGACTGATGTGCGATCCAGTTGGCACGCGAGTGCTCTAACGGGCGGGAAGAGTCGGGCAAGCGGACCCCAACGGACGGGACGGGTCGGGTCCGGCGGGAGGAGCCTACTTTTGGGGACCCACGATGTGCTATGCCATGCTATAGTCCGGTGGCGGGATAGGCCTGGGATAGGAAGGAGTAAAAGACAACGCGCACATAGGAGTCCCCACCTTTTGGGGAACCCATGCCGAGCTATGCCATGCCATAGCACGGCGGCGGGAAAGGCATGGGGCAAGTAGAGGTCAAAGGCAACGCGCGCATAGGGGTCCCCACTTTGTGGGGACCCATGCGGTGCTATGCCGTGCTATAGCGCGGTGGCGGGATAGCGTCCCTGGTTGGTAGCCCGAATCCAGTCGTAGAAGAAACCCCGAAATGCAACCCAACGCATAACGAACAATGCGGCTGGATAGGCACAGCGTGGCAAGTTCAGTCGGGACACTCAGAAGAAACCGGATGGTTAAGACACGCTTCAGCACAGAGTCTGGGGCCCTTTTTTTGTTTCCATAGTTCCCAGGCCACGCGAATACATACCCGCACAGAGAAGGTCCCAGCATGCGCAGATCGCGACCCTGACACTTACGATCAGGGATAGTCAGGCCCCGCTTGCTAGGGATAAATCTGTCCTGCAATACCCTAACACGTAACATGACTCGTGAAAGTACAACCACGAACGAAGGCGAGGCATAGAAGCAGCACCTTCTCTGCGACACACGCAAGCGGAACTGCGCGGCAGGAAAAAAGATACCAAGTGGAATCATTGAAACAGCCCTGACTGCTCATCCGCTGGACGGATCAGGCCTGCGGGTCGCCAGCGTCCGCCTCTTCAAAGAGAGGATCCACGGCTACTTCCAACGCATAGTTCGTGGCGTGATTCAAGGCATGGTCCAATGCAATGTCCAACGTAAGGTCCAGAGCATAGTCCAATCCATCAGGTGGCTCGATGCCAACGATAGCGGCGGCGTGGGCCCACCTGTTACGCGGAACCAGGCAATGCCCATTCTGGTCCCGCGCAACGCCGCCACGATAGTCGGCGCCCGCGGCAGGATCATCGTACAGAAACCCATCCGCTGGAACCCACGAGTTCAGGAGTGGGTTCCTGAGGCTCATGTACAGAGACTCCCACAGAGGGCTGAACCAGCGAAAGATGTAACCATTTGGGAGAATAGAATTGCCCCCGTGAGATCGGCAACGCCTGCAAAGTATACCATCACAAAGCACGCGCTGAAGAGGAATATAGTGATCCTCAACCCATTCGGAGTCGGTGACCGAGCCAATGGCTCCATGCCAGACCTGCGTCATGATCAGGTGCATGTCCATGGCATAGAATATGCGACCCGGGGGGCTCTGCCGACGGTACCAGGCGATGAACGCGATGAGCATAGCGGACGTGTCAACGTTCGACATGGGAACCCAGCGCGGCATGGGATTCGCGGGCAGGGACATTCGCAGTCAGCGAGAACGATCCTCGGAACGCTCTATAGAACGAGAATCTCTGCCCACCTGGGACACCCGAACTCTCGATCCGAGAAGGCTGCATCGGCGAAAGCCTCTTTTTGGGGACCCATGCTGTGCTATGCCATGCTGTATCACACTGGCGGGATTGGCCGAGGGCAAGTAACAGTGAAGAGACGACGCGCACATAGGGCTCCCCACTCTTTGGGGACACATGCTTTGCTATACCATGCTATAGAACAGTGCCGGAATAGGCATTGGGCAAGTAACAGTGAAAGACGACGCGCACATAGAGGTCCCAACTTTTTGAAGACCCATGCTATGCTATGCCATGCCACAGCACAGTGGCGGTGTAAGCCTGGGGCAAGTAACAGTACCAGACAACGCGCACAAAGGGGTCCCCACTTTTTGGGGACCCATGCTGTGCTATGCCATGCTATAGCACAGTGGCGGGATAGGCCTAGGACACATACAATAAAAGACAACACATCGGACTCCCCACTTTCGGGGGACCCATGCTGAGCTATGCCATGCTTCAGCACAGTGGCGGGATACGCCTAGGGCAAGTAACAGTAAAAGACAACGCGCACATAGGGGTCCCCACTTTTGGGGGACCCATGCTGTGCTACGCCATGCTATAGCACAGTCTCGGGATAGGCATAGGGCAAGTAACAGTAGAAGACGACGCGCACATAGGAGAGCCCACTTTTCGGGGACCCATGCTGGGCAATGCCATGCTATAGCACGGTGGCGGGATAGCACTGCAGCAGGAGCAGCCAACAAATTGAACGCGTCACTAGTACAACTGGAAGTACGGAGCCCGGACACGTTCCCGAATACGCGAATAGGCGTGGACCCCAAACAGGCCGCTGTGCAGCGGAGAACACACGCAGCAGGGAGAGGCACAGAGGACTGACGCCAGCGAGAATGCAAACACTGTCGAGAAAACGGTGCTGCTGGCACATAGGCAGACGCGGTGAGACATCTGGTTCCAATGGTTGATAGCACGACTCCAGGAATCATGAGCACGAGCCTATCAGTCCGAATGGATATAGCAGTACGAGACGAGAATGGGGAGAAAAGAGAGTATGGGCACAGTCCCTGTTTGTGCAAGAGCTTTGCAGTTAATACGATGAGCTCTGTCAATGCAGACCACCAGAGTACAGGCCCTCGTCTGCATAGCCCTGCCTACTCGGGAACAGTCCCGAATAAACAAAACACATCTGAGCATAGCAAAGGCCCGTCTACGCCTTGAACGCCATCAGCTCACCGGCACTCCCCGACGACGTAGACGCCGGCACGCCCTCAAAGCGCTTGAGCATCATAGACACGAAGGCCTCCTTGTCCAGAGACTGCTGCGCGACGCGCGACCGAAGGCACTTCTCGTACACCTGGGCGTTGTGCGATAGCCCATTCGCACCAAACGTCAGCATGAGGAACTTCAGGTCGGAGGGCTTCTTCTGGATCCACTCGTTCAGAGCGGTCGCAACAGCCGAGACCTGCTGGGGATCCGGCACTGTGGCATTCGTGCGCTGGCGCTTGAATAGTTTCGTCTGGCCATCCTTCGTCTGGCTGCTCAGCCTCCTTCTTCACGTTCTTGAGCAGGTCCGGCTTCACGACGCTCTCCAAGTGCTTCGCATGCACCACGTCCCACCACGAAGGCCTCCATGGCCTGGACGGCGCGCGACGCGCCGACATATTGGCGCATTGGATCTGCATCAACGCCCTCATAGGAGAACGGCACAGCCTTGTTCCCCTGCGCAAGCACCTTCCAGAAATCCGGCAGCTCGGCCTCGGATATGTGGTTAGAGCCGCACGCGTTCAGTAGCTGCGCCGGAGCCGTAGCCCACGGAAACAGGCGATTGCTCCTCTGAGTAGGCTTGTCGTTGCCGTCCGGGGCAGGAGCGCCGAACATGTTCGCGAAGTCACCCATGATAGGAGCGAACACTCTAGAAGCGCCCAAGCTCAGATACAAAGAAGTAGCTGCCAGCCAAAGCGCTAAAAAACAACGCGAAAAACAGTCGGACAAATAACACTGTGTTACGCCATGATGAGTGCCCACTTTTGGGGGGTGCATAGCAGGACATCGGGGTGGTGCGAAGCCGTGTTTTGGAGATAGAAACTGATGAACTGCAATAGCACAGAACACGGAAAAACGGGTCCACCTTTTTGGAAATGAAAGACGCTGTGCTGCAATAGCGACCACACACCGATGACGCGGGGGCGCGTCGCCACTTCGTGGGGATGATGCAGCCGAGCTGCAATTGCACAGCACATAACAAAGCATAGCATAGCGCAGCGTGGCATAGCATAGCACAGCATTGCCCTGCAACCAGCCGTGAAACCTCCGAGCCATCACCAAGGCCCGGCGGGGCAGACCGCGCGCCGCCAAGAGTCCCAACTTTTTGGGGATGTCTGTTGATGTGCTGCACTAGCACAGCACTTCGAGAGAGACCCATTTTTTATGATTTTGGGGGGAGGGGGGGAATGGAAGCTGATGAAGTGCAATAAAACAGAACACAGAAATATCGGGCCCCCACTTTTTTGGAAATGGGAGTTGCTGTGCTGCAATAGCGCAGCACACTGCGATGACGCGGAGGCGCGTCCGCACTTCCTGGGGATGGATGCGGCCGTGCTGCAATAGCACAACACATAGCAAAACAAGCATGGCATAGCATAGCAAAGTATTACAATGCGACCATCCGTGAGGCACCGAGTAACCAGCCGGGGCTGGCGGGGTAGGCCGAACGCCACTAAGAGAACCAGGATGCATCGGACCCACAATCCAGAAGGCATAGCGTGTGCAAGCATGGCCGACTCCAGGAACAATCACGGAAGTGCAACGCGCACGGCGCGAACACCAGGAGACCAACGAGGTGTCATGAGTCTATGCTACGCTATGCCATGCTATGATGGAGCACGGTGGCGGAATAGGCCGAGGCCGCAGAGAAGAATACACAGCAACGCGCACGCATGGCGCACTGACAACAAATGCTTGCATGAGTACCAATTACACGACCACCACAGGCCACAGCATCAGATAGGAGCAGGCCACGAGGACCACGCGCAACGTAGAAAGAACTTACCTTTCAACGCCGGTCGCACGAGACACGAGACAGAAGGGCAGCGCAGAGCGAAACAGGCAGCCGAACAGGAGGTGTCATAACCCGAAACCGAAACATACGGGATGGCAGGATAGTCTGCAAGAGTGCCTCACGTCGCCGCAGAGGAGAGACTTCACCGCCGTCTGAAGTACGTCTCTGTCAGTATCCCCGAAAGACATCACAGTAGTGATGCTGCATGGATTGGTTGGGCAGTCTGTCCGGAATAGACTCAGTCAACCCTGACGCCTAAGGCATGTAAACACTATGAGATCCAGCAAGTTGTAACGCGGCTGTGACAGGAGCTCGCGCATGCCATCTCGGAAACGAATAGCCGTGTCGTGATCCCACAACGCCCATTTCATGATCTTCCTCCGTCCGTGGAATGACATAGAACGCAACACTCGCCAGTCGTCCGACGAATCCGCGTGCTGACGCCCATCGGCCAGGACGATCGAAAGCGCGAAGCGAACGGACGTGTACGAAAACTGGCCATGATAGCGGCCGAACCCGTGCACCTTCATGATGTCCACGATACACGCAATGGAGACTACGGTGCGGTCGCCCTGCAGATAGTGCGCGATGCTCTCTGCCAGCACGTGAAACGCCCGACTGTTCTTGCATAGGTAATAGAACATACCAAGCGGAGGGGCGCGCTCGGAAGGGTTGCCCAGAGGCTGCTGCCCAACGGTTCCAGCGCATATATTCCCATCACGATAGCGCATGTTTTTGAATAACCGAGCCACGCGCTTACCCATGGCTCGCATAGCCGGAGCGTGGTTCAGCGTAGAGGGCGACTGCACAACGTCGCAGCACATGGCAACCATAGGCGCTTCCCAGTACACCTGATAGGGAAAGCCAAAAGAGAATACGACAAGCGACAGAGATGCCAGATGCGCAGTTAGCATAGCCCAAACCGTTCGGAATGCACGCACATCAGCGCGGCTACCCACGCAGTGAATAGCACACCCTGTGCAATCATGCACGCGCAGGCTTGCTCGATAGTGACACCAGGCTGGGTGGTATACCTCGTAGCGGTGGTTCTCCATGTGCCGATAGCCCTTGCTACAAAACCAACCAAGGTCTGCATGGAACCATCTCCCTGAACGATGGCGGCACTCGCAGTATAGGCACTGCTTCGCGCCAGGGCGCAGCACGGCACTGACCATAGAAGCCACCCGATGCCGCAAGAGACCAAGCCAAGAGAAAGGGATAGAGAGCAAACGATGAATGGGTCGATGTATGCATCCATGGATGCATAGATGCAGGCGTGGATGTATACATGGATGCATACATGGATGCAGAGATGGATGCAAGGATGCATGCTTGGATGTAAGCATGGAGTCGACAAGTGAACCACGAACTGATTCCGAGGATGCATGCATGAGAGGGTGTAGAGATAGAGAACATGGCAACTCGCGACTGCCTGCTTCAAACACGTGTCGCTGGATAGCGACTAAAAACATGGCGCCCATCCCCGCCGGCGCGCCGTTGCTCGGCGGGAACCAGGCTCCATAGTCTCTACCCCATGCCGCAAGAGACCAAGCCAGGGAGCAGAGCGAACGATGAATGGGTGGATGTTGCATCCATGGATGCATAGATGCACGCGTGGATGTATAGATGGATGCATGGATGGATACAGAGATGGATGCAACGATGCATGCATGGATTTAATCATAGATTACACAAAGAAAACGGAAGCACGAACTGATTCCGAGGATGCATACTTAGGTAGCCACATCGATGCATAAGTAGATGCACAGATGAGTACATGATTGGAGTGATGCAACCAATGATGCATAGACGACTCTATGTATCACCTAGTTTATGATAAGCTGCTGAACAACATTAACGAATGGACGTGTTAGAGTGGAGAAGGGAGACGAAGGCTGGGATACCATGCCTAGGGCCACTCGCTGTCCCCGAACCAACAGGGGACCCTGCTGAACAGCCTCGTGGATAGCATTGACGGCTGCCTGCGAAATAGTGCCGTGAAGCCGATCGCAAATGTTCCTCAGCGTGTCCCTCTGGTCAGCGTCGGGCCTCGCAATAGCCCCCCCGTCAACATGATCTTCGTTGTAGTGATGCGTCCGGACATAGGACGCGAAATCGAAGATGCTGCCGAACAGAGCAGCGGGGACCACGGCCTGCAAATGCTGGACGTGATAGTCCTCATCGACCTCGGTGAGGACACGAGCCTGTAGCAGAGGCATCATGAAGCCGTGCATCGAAGGGATGCGATAGGCAACGTGAGACATGTCCCTAGGGTGAACAAACCGGAGCTCGTTCAACCACACGCGCTCGACGCTGCAGGCGGACGGGGCGATGGCATAGGTGTCCGGGGAGATCGCGGGCACACGCACGTATAGACTGGATACCCGATCACGGTGAATGTCTTCGCTGTACGCGAGCACCTCAACATACTGCCCAGATCGGAATATCGCATAGTGCAGATGCAGCATTGAGTAGATAGACATGTACACAAGATGATGGTATGCACGAGCGCCAGAACAGCTCGTCAAGAAATCGTGCGGCGTCCCATAGCGCTGGTAAGCGTCCATGACATCATGGTGGTGGGTACTCACGTACATTATAGTACCCCACCCATGCCAGGCCTCTGTAGGCACTTCGATAGGCTCGTGCCGATCGGCGACCCTCGTCAGGAGAGAATATAAATAAGCCAGCCAGGCCGTGGGCTGCGGCAAGAACAGCGTGATCGTGTGGTAGCCGGCCATCCTTGGTCTTCCAATTGAATTGGAAGGACGAGGATCGGTTATGAGCACACGATAGCTCCTGCTGAACCAAAAATGGCTGAACGAACATCATAGGTTTGACCGCTCCCTCTGCCAGAACATGTGCACAGAACAGCATTTACAAGAAGAACATAGAATGACAAATGATGAGGCGGAGATGAGTGGGGAGGTAGACAGACAGACAATCGAGACACACCCGAGAGAACTGTTAAACTTCAACACCCGCGTGCCCCATACAAGCGAAACGGGTCGGGCAGACGGACCCTAACGAGCGCGTCGGATCGGGTCGGGCGTTGGCACGCGAGTACCCTAACGGACGGGACGGGTCGGGCAGGCAAAACGGACGGGGCGGGTCGGGTCGGGCAACATGAATTCTGCACGCATGCGCAGCAAATGCTATTTTTTGGAATAGATGGATCGGCTCGCAACGGGGGCCGGGCACTTTGTATTGTAAAATACTAGAGATTCTGCACGCATGCGCAGCAAGTGCTATTTTTTGCAATAGATGGTGCCGGTTTACATAACGGGCTCGCAACGGGGACCGGGCACTTTGTATGGTAAAATACAAGAGATTCTGCACGCATGCTCAGCCAATGCTATTTTTTGCAGTAGATGGAGCCGGGTCGCAACGGGGACCGGGCACTT